TGATGGTTAAAAGCAAACCACTTATTGACCACCAACTAGGTATAGGCACAGAATGAGCAGACTTACAGATGTTACTTCATTTGATTTTCACAAGGGTTTTTGGAGGGGCATATTATTTTTATCCCTACTTTATAAATGATGAAATTTAGACTCAGTGGCTATTCACAATGTGATCCATAGATAAACAGTTAGTAAATGCAGATAACTTACAAATGCGGGTTCAAATCCAGGCCCCACTCTCTTACCTGGTTCACCAAAGCGTTACATTTAAAGATTAGGGCGTGTGTCTCCTCTCCTGTGCTATGCACCCAGCCCAGATGCTACACGCTTCCTTCCCAGCCATTGGTTCCCACTGTGACCTTCACAGACATGCCCTTGAGCGCTAGCTAGGACAGCCCTACCAGTAAGCCCTCAATCCTGCAGCTGACAACTGACTGATACAGGAACGCGGAAGCCTAGGCATCCTCTGAAATCCCACCCTTGCTAGTCGTATTTCATTTCTTTGTCCTGTTTTAGCCCCTTCCTCCCATGCTGGCCTCCCTGGGAGCACTTCCCTAACAAGTCACCTGCTCCTGAATTCGTGGCTCAGTGTCTCTTTCTGAGAATCTTAACTAATACAATACACAAAAGGCACCAAAGAGGCAAATACTAATATTTTGATATTATGTCAACTTATATCTTTTTAAAAATTGTTCATTACAAAGGAATACATGTTCATTGTAAAAAAAGTCCAAATAAAACAATAGAAGTTAGATAATTCATAATTCTAAAAACCAGAAAAATTACTATTTATGTGCATCTTATAAAAATAAGTACAAACCATTTATAATTTTTTTAATGTAACATTGACAGACTTTCTTTTCATCCTGGTAAAATTTCCTCTATAAAATTTTTCAACACTGCAATTTTAGGGGTTGGGACCAAGCCTCCCGTTGATGCTGATGCTATGGGTTCATGGGCTGCTCTCTGAATAGCACTGATGTTCTTATAAGCCATTTCAGGACTTTGGCTTTGCTGTGTTTGAGTTCAGTATTAAACCCCAATTCAACTCAGTTATGTGAGTGTCTCCCTTACACAATTATTCAAACATGTTGCTGAGTCATTAATGAATATAAACACTTCATATATGAGGAAAGAGAGTTAATAGCACCTAACATTAACACTTACTCTCAGCTTCTGTGTGCAAGTGGCTGAAAGTGACCCCATCGTATATCAAGCTGACATTTAGGAAATGTTGGACTCACTAGGGTAAAAACAGAAAGTTATAACTTCTGAAAATCTACTATTGCAGTTTCGTTTTTCTTATTTTTGAACGAAACCATAGGTAGGCATTTTCCCTCATATTCAAGAAATAGAGTCTTTTGGTTATCCCAGGAACCAAAATGTCTTTATCAGGCACCAACTTGAAGGGATTTCCACTGGCATAATCAGAAAAAAAAAAAAATTGAGAGTTAAAATGAGTCATAATAGTAAAAGATTATACGTGGGAGAAAAAAACCTTTACCTTGTTAGGTTCAGTGCCTGGGGCCTATGCATTAAGCTGACAAAAGGCATTTTAACTGGAGAGAGAGCTTATTTATGTATGCAATGCATATACATATGGAGAACTCAGTGGTAGATAACTCAAAGGGGTAGTTAAAATTTGGAACTTATATATCACCTTAATGAGTAAAGGGGGGAGGAGAAGGTACTCGTGAAAACAAATGACTTTTTGAAAAGGAAATGGGTTTTCAGGTAAACAAACAGGAGAGAAGAAAGTCTGTAATAATGTTTATCTACACAGGTTTAAGTGGTCTTTTCAGCTTTTTCAGAACCATAAAACTTCTGGAGAAAGAATTTGGAGTAGGTTTACTTGTGTTCTCCCCTCTGGAAGTAGGTCAATCCTGAAGAGGAATTTATGGCAGACTTATTTTCCAGAAGTTACTTACTGCTTTTAGTCAGATAAGCAAAGGTCTAAGAACTTTTTTTTTTCCCTGTATACAGTATGTGAAATCTCAAATGTCTTTAGTTTAAAATAATCTTTATATCAACTCTGGAGTTCTGAGTTGGTCCCATAATTTGTAACTCATTAAATAAAAAAGGAATGCCGAGTTCATACTTATTTAACGACACAAGTTAATGAGGAAGAAGAGAAAGCTCTGCCCAACAGCAGAAAGACAAAGAAAGAAAATTGAAAGATAAAATTTTACAAGTATCTTATGGCAACAGTCACTAATAATTATTTCCGGCAAGAGTCATCCATGGACGCTGAAATTAGTACGTGATAGTCATCTGAATAAAAGGAAATTTACATAGCTTCAAAGTATCTATACATAAGATACTTAATAAGTACAATGAGAAAAAATATTAACTACAGTTGACCCTTGAATAACGGGGAGTTAAGGAGCTCCAACCCGTCCTCACAGTTGAAAATTTGTGTATAACTTTTGACTCTCCCAAACTATGAATAATCTAATACTATTGATTGAAAGCCTTATAATAACTTATGCAGTTATGGTTTGTTACTATGCCTTTATGTTTGCTTACATTTCTTTCAACTGTGAATGCTGCCATGTACAGTTAGTGTTTGTGTGAATGTTTTGATAAATTTTAACTTTTCATCATAGATTTGTATATATCTTATGGTAGTAAATGACAAATAGTCAAGAAAAAGTCTTTTCTAAGCTAAAAGAGACTAAAGAGACGTGACAAATGAATGCATCTATTATTGCTGGGATTCTCTTTTGCTGTAAGAGATATACTGTGACAATTATAAAAATCGGAATAAGATCTGTGTGTTAACTAGCTTATTTAAGTTAATTTCCTGATTTTGAAAATTGTAATATTGTCATATAAAAGAATGTGCTTGCTTTTAGGAAGTACGCATTGAACTATTTTGGGTTAAGGAACATCATGTTTTCAACTGACACTGATATAGTCCAGGAAAAAAATACATACACAAACATATATACATGTAGAAGGAGAAAGAGATAAAGCAAATGTGGTAAATAATCAGCATTTAGATGATCTGGGTGAAGGGCATACAGAAATTCATTGTCAAAATTCCTGCAACTTTTCTATACATATGAAATTAAGCCAAAACAAAAAAAAATTTTTTTAAACAAAAAGAAAAAATAAAAGAAAGCTTCATAAAACAAACAAACTTACTTCTAATTGCAAATCTCTAGGCTCCAAGTGACAAAGCTTGCAAGCAATCCTATCAGGAATTACTAATCAAGAATGTCTCTGAGTTGGACTCTTTCTCTCCCATTTTCTCCTACTGCCTTCTGGGAAAGGCCCCTCCACAGTTGGAAAGAAAGGGAGATTAGAGGAAGAGGAGGTTTATCTGCATATGGCAGACAGAGTTTTAATCTGGAGTGGGGGCCCTCTGGTAAGACAGACTCTAAAGTGGACTCTTTCTGTCTATGGGCGTTTGTGGATATTTCTGGAGCTCCAGTCCAGCACTGCATCTCCCGGTGTGGATAATGCCTCAGAGATGGTCAGTGTCATGTCTCAACTTGGTTGGGTTATAGTACCCAGTAACTCAATCAAATACTCAGTTGTTGCAGTGAAGGAAATGGAGATGCAATTAATATCTACAATTTTTAACTTTATGTAAAGGAGATTGTTCTCGATAATCTTGGTGGGCCTGATCTGATCAGTTGCTTTAACAACAGCTGACATTCTGACAATTGTAATATGGTTAGGTAAATGAATGCCCTTGCTTTTAGGAAGGTTTCCCTGAGGAAGAAGAAATTCTACCTGTGGACTTCAGGGACGGTTTCTCGCTAAGAGTTTCCAGTCTACACTTCCTGACAGCCTGCCCTATGGTTTTAGTATTTGACCAGCCAGACTCCACATGTAAGTCAACTGTTTGCAACAAATATCTTTATATTCCCCTTCCTTCGCCCCCCGCCGACCTCCGCTCTGTTTCTGTCTCCCTCTCTTTCTTACTGTTTCTGTTTCTCTGACAGTACGCTGACATACCTCTTTTCCAAGTGGTGGTTTCATGGTAGATCTCTTAAATTCTTCCTTCTTCCCCTACTCCCCCCTTCAGCATACTTACCTCAAGGAAAAGTCACATATAATATCTAGTCATTCTCATATTTCCTTTCAGGCATCTGGACATTTGTCTAAAATATCAGCTAGTATATGACTACATGAAAACCACTTGAACTGCCTCTCAATTGCAGAAGACTCTGAGGGAAGATTCCCCAGGATGGGGAAATGTTTATATTGTAGTAAACAGAAGATAAAGAAATGCATTTTCAAAATTTTTTCTGGGGGACTCAAATCACAACCTAGCACCATAGGTTTTGTCTTAATTTGGGCCCTTCCAGCAGCAACCTTGAGACAAGGATTTGGGTATGAGTATTTGGGACGTAATCTCTATAAGACCAGAAGGAGAGGGGAAAAGTGATCCAGGGAGGGGAAAGCGGCAACGAAGGCTGTGTTATTAGACAGATTCACACTGTGGGCAACTTGATCTTAATCCCACTGGGGAGCTCTAGAAGTCGGTGAGAATGTGCACTTCAGAATAATCCCACCAGAGGGGTGAGGAAGTTGGGGTGTTAACACAGTCTGTTCAATCACTGTTGAGAGTTGCTTCCAAGAGGATGCAGATTCTCAAGCACATCTGCCCCGATGTACGAGTACCAGAGGCAGCTCTGAGAGTACTACCATGCCAGGGCAGAGAGGAAACAGGGATCGTGCAGGCAGTGTCTGCTAGGGATACCAAAAGTTTATTCAACCCAAGGTATCTAATACACATCATTTACATTGGCATATAAGAAACAAACTTCTTCCTTAAGGAATTCAATACTATTTCTCTTTCCTAATATTAAATTGTTGTCATCAATTTCCGTTAAAATTTTGTCCTTCATAAACATAGTGTCATTCATCTGGTAAATCTTTTGACACTAATATTTATAACTCAATGCCATGTATTCCACTATATTTGTAAAGTAGATTGAGGGATTTATCCAGAATGACATGCCATTCATTTAAAAATAAAATACACCTTCTCTAGACAGCTCAGAATATTTAGAGTTGTTAAAGCAAAAACAAACATTTGTTAATACATTCTTCTTGTATGAATTGCTTTGGCTTTGATGGAAATATCTACTTTATCCAAGGTTTGGCCCCTGGGCATTAAAACATTTACCCCAAGAAGAAACTGCTGTGACTTAGGTCTTCAAGGCAGCTTCTAATGCTTGAGCTTTCTCTCGGATGTTCTTCTGAAAAGGCATCATAAAATCGTCGAAGTCTACCTCATAAGTAAACCTCTCTCGCCTTAGTTCTCTCTTCCTTATCAGCTCTGCTGTTGTGGCTTCAGCACTCTGAATCTAAAAGAAATAGCCACACCCAGAGCAGGTATGAGAATGATAGCCAGTAAATATTCCAGTATCCAGGCAATTTTCAATACATAGTTTTATCTGTAAACTCTTTGATAATTTTAATTCAAGACTACAAAATTTACACCTAAATGTATTTTAATTTTTCCCTCCTCTTCTATGACATCAGTGGTTACATGAGCATCACAATTTCTGATGATGATCATCTGGACAACTGAGCTCAGAAATGTTGTCAGTTACTTCTTTGGCCAGTTATGCTTAGGTCAGCTGCAGTTCAGTTTTGGAAGTCAAAACAGCGAAGCAAAGAAATTAGATAATCACCTGGATTTACTAACTGTATGTCTTATGTGGAAGTTAAAATTATTTTCATAACAGAAGGCAGGGCTACTTATTCAGCATGGTTTGAAGGGCATTTAAAAGATAATTCTTTTCCCCAAAAGTTTTCTCACCTCTTAAATCATAGATGTTTTAGGAGGCTACTGAATAAATCTCTCTGGATTAGTATAAAACTCCCATGTGAAATGATGCTAGTGAGCACAGAGAAGAAACGTTGGATCTGAGAAGTACCAAGAAAAGTGTCCCTAGGACTTGGTGACCAAATGACTGTGGGGCATGCCATTGACCAAAGACCTCAATCTTTCCTGGAAAAATGTAAATGTCAATATAGAAATAGTCATGGAGAAAACCAAATATTGGCAGCTAACAGTTGGACTTCCTGAGCAGAAAGTAGCATGACTTGGCAAAAAAAAAACCCCCACAAATAGTAAATGTAAAAGGCACATTTTGAACATTGGTTTGGATGATTTGCCTTAAAAAGCACTTGAAAAATGACATTATGGACTTCTCCCATGCTATGAAGATGTTTCCAAAGTACTTACTCTCCGTGGAATAAATGTAATATCCACTTTCTTGGTATAACCACTGGTAATCAATGAATTGAGATGAACAACATTATCCTTCTGCATTTTCTTTCCCTCTGATATGGCTGGTACAGCATAAATTGATGACAGTGGTTCCTGGAAACAAGACAAAGAAACCTGTAAGCTGCGAAAGTCCATATTCACTTTCTCATATCATTTGCTGTACTACATTTTACTCTGAAGCCAGAAAGCAACAACAACAACAAATGTTACTACATAAGTTATCCTTTGCGATAAAATAGAATATTATTATTATTTATTATTTTTTTTTGAGTTGGAGTCTCACTCCGTCGCCCAGACTGGAGTGCAGTGGCCGCTCCCGGTCACCGCAGCCTCGACCTGCTGGGCTCTGGCAATCCTTCCGCCTCAGCCTTCCAAGTAGCCGGAACTACAGGCACGTGCTACCACGCCCGGCTAATTTTTTGATTTTATTGTAGAGATGAGGTCTCGCTGCCCAGGCGGGTCTCGAACCCGCCGGCTCAGGCAATCCACTCACCTCAGCCTCCCAAAGGCGTGGGATTATAGGCTGAGCCACCGAGTCAGGCTCAAAATAGAATTATAACTCTAGGTCAAGAGAGATAGTTTGCCTTGTTTAACTCTACTTAAGTAGTGACAGAACACACAAGTGTTCAAGGATATCTATCCTTGACATGCGCCCGTTCATTAATCAGAAAAATAAAATCCTACCACATCCTACCAAAATGATAAAGGTGTGTATGCAAGAACATTAGCTGAAAGATCCACCTTCACGTTTTGCCATCCTAACTACAAACTCCATGTTTATAACCTCTGTCTACTGACAATCCCTTCCTCCTATCCACTTGCTACCACCTGCATTTCTTCAACCCTTTTGAATCTGATAGCACTAAAGTTTTCCTTCTTGATATCCATCTCTTGTCCTGTGTGTGCCAAGATTCTCTAGTTAATTTCCTACCTTCTTAAAAGAAGCTCAGTTAGACATGCACTTAGGGGTTCCCTACTAATAGCAAAGTCTTGATCTCTCAGTAATTTCTGTGGACAACAACCCCAACGTTCAGCTGGTAGTTTAGAAGTTCCTAAACTACTTCAGATTAGAACAGACAACTTGGCTTTGACCTTCTACAGTCATTTTGCAGGACATCCAAGTCAAAAGCAGCTCCATAGCCCAGGGTTTAATGACATTCATTAGAATTCCTTGGTGGAGGTGAAGGGAGGGGTTAAGGTGGGAATTGAAAGATTATGAGACCAGAATAAAGGAAAATCATGTTTACTTCATTTTTTTAAAGAATTACCCTCCTTCCCTGTTTGGGCCATCTCATCAAATCTATATAATTCAGGACTATTGACATACATTTCCAATACCAGTTTGTTTGTTTTCCCCCAACCTTCTAATTGTATTTGGCTGAACCCATCTGGTTTTTTGTGTATATTCTCTTTGCAATGAACATCTTTTAGGCTCTTTGGTCATAAGGAATTTCCTTGCTAGGTATTTCCTTGAGTAGTATATAATGATGCTGAAAATATGCACTGCATATTATTTTGCCCATATTGTCTAAGAATATGTAAATAGAGCTGCTGCCTTCCACTGCAACAAGTTTGTACAGAGTTCCAACACAAACAGGTGGTCGACCTCTTTTCTTACCTCTTCTTTCTTAATTTCAGGGCCTTCAGTCTTCAATTTAGGTGCTGGCTTGCCTTTCACTTTTTGATTTTCTGCAGGCTTTGGCAAATTATCTAGCTTTTCTTTAACCAGACTGATTATTCTATAATCAGCATATGCCTTTGCAACATCCATGGCATTATGCCCTGTTGAAACATAAACATACATTCAGAGTTATGATAAATGTATTAATGATAAACCATGTAGAAAAAAAAAATCTTAGCACCTCTTCCCTAAACCTGCAGTAGTAAGGGTGATTCCTAAAACAAATGGCATGCATGTGTTCACAGAGCTAGATCATGTTCTCTATGGTGGTCCCAGCTCTAAAATCCCCTGCTTTCAAGTGTTGTTTGTTGAAACAAAAATTATTTTCTTAAATTTTTTTACTACCTTTCTTCAAATGGTGATAGGAGACAGATTACGTTTTGAATGTCAAATTTCTGTGATGTAAGGAGGTAAATTCCAAAAGGCATGGGGAAGCTCACAAGTGCTCCAGGCAGAGGGCAGGAAGTTATATTACCTGTAACATCATCAGGTAGGACTGGTACCATACTACCTGGGACCTAGAGGTAGCCTGAACCAGCCAGAGGCATTAATATTAATGTTCACTCAGACCAAAGGGAAGCAATTGCTTCCAATATAAGAAAATGACAACTCTATGCAAAGAGCTCAAGTGTATTCAAATGATATTTTATTCTTCATGTGTGGCATTTATGATATAAAGGAGGCCACCTGTTTACTTCCTAGAGTCAAGAAAGTCTCAATTAAGACAATACTTTATCCAGTTTTAAGAGGAATTCAAAATCTACATTGTCTTTAGACTTACACAAATTATTAGGAATTAGCCTTCATAAGAGTGGGATGATTTAAGGTATGATCTGAAAACTGGTACAAGTCCACAAACTAAGGGTTACTGATCCACAACAAAGTACAGAAATCAAGTGTCTGGAAATTTTTATAATTATGTAATAGAAGAACTTTCTATCATTTAAATTTAATGCTTTGCCAGATGTGGTGGCTCACCACGCTTGTAATCCCAGCACTTTGAGAGGCTGAGGTGGGAGGTTGGCTTGAGCCCATGAGTTCAAGACCAGCCTAGGGAATACAGCAAGATCTCATTTCTACAAAATGACAACAACAACAAAATTAGTCTGGTGTGGTGGCATGTACCTGCAATACAAGCTACTTAGGAGGCTGAGGCGAAAGGATCATCTGAGCCCAGGAGGTTGAGGCTGCTCTGAGCTATGATTGGGCTACTGTACTCCAGCCTGGGTGACAGTGAGACTTCGACTCAAAAACAATAAAAAATAAAAATGAAATACAAATTAAAATAAAAATAAAGATTTGGCTTTGTGATTTGCTTTTATCCACTTCATTTTTCCAGTAGGTCATTTTTTATTGTATTTCACAAAAGTATCTCCAGCCATGATATACTGCAAAGATAAAGAACTGGCCCTTCAGTACCAACGACTGGAGAAAGGCTTGGTATAAAACAAACTTCCAGAACATTTAACTCAGGCTTGTGTTTGCACCAGGAAACCAGAGGGAAATGTGGCTCTGTCAGAATTGGATCAGAAAAGATTTAAAATCGAACATAAATTTTCCATTTCTGACCCTAACCATCAACAATATGAATACATACCTTTTCTATTTTCCAGCTGGAATTTAGCACCAATGTCAAGTAGGTATTTTACCGTATCCAGTCTACAACTTTCGATGGCTCTGCTTAAAGGAGTTGAGTTGTTGATTGACATTGCATCTATCAAAGCTCCAGATTTAACAAGCAGCTCAACAATGTCTTGTTGGCCTGCGTGGCATGCAAAATGAAGTGGAGTCCACAGGAAATTATCTGTTGCATTAACATTAGCCCTGTAAAATAAGATAGATGCACAAACTAAAATATTGGTTGTTCCAGGCACTGGAAGATAAAAAAAGCAAAGTAAGATTTCATATAGTTTTATCAGGTTGTGGAACTGTAAACTCCACGTCATAATTTTTCTTCAAACCCCTTTGTTCTGTATTATTTGACAGTCTTAACTTCCTTTGTGTATATGTTCATTTTGTTTGGTAGTAAAAGGCAATATAGATTCTAGGGATTACAATTTTCAAAGTTAGAAATCAAAGAAAATTATAAAACTAGTTCCAATGAAGATAAAAGCTGCCAGGAAATATAAAAAATATATTATTCCATTTCGTGCCTACTTTATCTTCCTGTTATGAATTTTTAAATGAAAGTTAATCATTAAAATTCTGAGCATTATCATGTATTATTTAAAATTCGAGTCCTTTTTAGAAATTCACTATCCAAAGTTCTCATTGGTTAAGAATACAAAATATACAAATTTGAGTCTTTCCTTGACATTAAGCATGACAGTAATAACATTATACTTTTTCTCAAGTATGTTATTACTATGTTAATAAGTGCTTTACATATTTTAACTCATTTAATCTCCAACTAGTTTTATGAGAGGAGTCCCACTACAGCCTCATTGTCTAAATGAGAAAACCGAGGCACAAAATATTAAGAAACTTACCCCACGTTACACAATTAGGGTAGAAGAAGGGAATAGACCTGAGCAATTAAAAGTTAAATTAAAATGTCACGTTTTGATATTTCGATGATATTTACAAGTGAACCAGGGAAAAGACTGCCCTCTCTGGAGGAGGGCAGTGGGCTTTAAAGGGATCAAAGCATGTTCTTAATAATTATAGCCACTATCCCCCTTGTTGAAGTTGTTAAGATCCCCACAAAGTAGAGACAGATGAAAAAGCAAGTCCACACCATGTAGCTAAAGCTCTGAGGCAAAACTGAATTGACGGGGGCAGTGACACTCATCAAAAGACTCCTTCCATCTCAGAATGAAAACTTTTGACCTTTATTTTGTGTATTACTGCTATTGGCCAATTATATTTGTATGTACACAGTTCTATGCTCCCCTTAGCCTGGTACCCCATATAAGATCTATTTATTACAGACTTTAATAAAGAATCACTTTCCTATGCTACTGAAATTCTGGAGCTGATCAGATTTCTTAAGGCCTTCCTTTCACTTCCTTGAAATGGGAAGACCCATGAAAATTTAAACCTCACTTGACCAAGACACATACCCTTTTTCAAGAAGAAACTTGACCACATCTATGTTCCCACTTGCACACGCCGTCATTAGTGGTGTTTTGTAATAACTATCCTTCATATCCACAGGTATTCCTGAATCAAAAGCCTTTTTCAGGGAAGCCATGTCTCCTGCCTTGGTGATAAAATTAATATTTGAAAATATCTTCTCTGGATCATCAATGTACCAGGCCGAGTCATCCTGAATGGGATGTTCTGGGGGATGGTCTCGATTAAACCGACTGCTGTCAGTGACATTCTTGTAGGTCTCAATCATGTAATAGGGTGGTCCACCGTCCTCCCGACGTGGAAATGCGTGGTCCGGAATGATGCAGATGGGAAGGGGTAAGACAAACTTACCTTTCTTCCCCCTTCTACCCATGCCTTTTTTCTTTTTCTTAGGCCCATAAGATCCCAAGACAAAAGACTTGCTTAAATATCTGGTTCCCATAAAGAAATCGTTAACATTGACTCCTTCTCCCCGGGTCTTTTCATGAAGTTGAGCTATGACGGCCAGCTCTTCTGAGTTTGCATAATCCTGCCTTTCCTCCAGCACCATCACGAAGTCCTCCTTGGTGACGGTCCCATCACCCTTGTCCACAACCGCAAAGGCTTCCCGAAGGAAAGGCTCTCGTTCTACAGACCAATCATGTAGTCTAAGGGCCCAGACCGGATTCGGATTTTTGGCTCCTGGCTTGGCTAGTTTATTAGCGAGTCTCTCTGCCCGGCGTATTTCTTTGCTTGCTGCTTTGAAGCCGCCCTCCTTAGCCAAGGCCCTGGGCGTTTTATGGTCTAAATTCTTCCACTTCAGGTCACATCCTAAAATAGGAACCGTCATTATTATGAATGATGCCAAGGCATCTGCATGGCCCTATAAATGACATTCATTCGCCGGGCTCGGTGGCTCAGCCCGTAATCCCGCGCCTTTGGGAGGCTGAGGTGAGTGGATTGCCTGAGCCCGCGGGTTCGAGACCCGCCTGGGCAGGGAGACCTCATCTCTACCATAAATCAAAAAATCAGCCGGGCGTGGTAGCGCGTGCCTGTAATTCTGGCTACTCGGAAGGCTGAGGCGGAAGGATCGCCGGAGCCCAGCAGGTCGAGGCTGCGGTGGCCGGGAGCGGCCACTGCACTCCAGTTGGGCGACAGAGTGAGACTCCAATTCAAAAAAAAAAAAAAATGACATTCATTCAACTGCTTTCTTAATTTCTCATGAATGATGAAAAGTGTGTCCCAAAATTACATATATAGAGAGAGATGAGTACATTTAGCTATTATAATTACAAAAATGAGCTGTAATTCCTTTTTTCCTTTCTGTAAACTCACTTTGGTGAATTCCGATGGAGATAAGTTTACAATTTACAATAGGATTAGGACATTTATTTCTATACACATGTGAAACACATACTATATTGGTATTCTTGCTAAGGAGACTTCAAATCAATAGGAAAAATAAAAAGCAGGGGTACATTTGAATTTAGAAAGAAGCTGGACTCAAACAGCTTACTTGGAACGTATAAGTTCAGAATGCTGATGCTAAAAGGAAGCAGAATATAGTTTAAATCTAAACTATAAATCTGCGTACAATCTTAAACTATATTTTATCTGTATTCTCCATTAGATTTATGTAATTTAATGAAATCTGAGGATTCCCAGTATTATATTTGTATGCAAGCTAGATATTAAAATTCATTCTCCTTTTTGGTTACTTTTTTAACAAAATGATGTGACCAAAGTTATTTGTAAGTATTTGCCAAATGAATAAACTTTTTTGAACATACCAGGGACTCCATTTAATGTTACCAATGAGGTTGTGTTGTCTATAGTGTCTTGAGATATTAAAATTCATTATATATATGTCAGACTATAAGGTAGTCAGACTATGTTTTTCAAAATTAATACTTTCCTTGGTATTGTCAAAAATGAAAAATTTAAATGAAGGCTGATAATTTTACTAATGATAGAAAAACTCAGAAGAGGCATTGGGACAATAAAGATTCTAAGATGTATATATTGGACAATTATAAGAACAGTGACTTATTGGTGAGTCAACTCTGTCAGTGTTCTCAATAATACAATTCCACAGCATAGTAAATCCAAGCATTTTGCTTTCACTTAGCTGTTTTGCTCATTCAAGGTGTCTGGGGGTTTTATCTACCATCTTTCAAGCCACTCCTTCTCTGCTCACCCAACCCTAATCATCAAAGGATTTTTAAACCTGCTTTAACTCACCCTCTGCTGCTTTCAGCTTCCTCCAGTAAGAAAACTTTATGTGGATAAAAGACTTTAACCTCCCAGCTTAGAGATCTAAAGGCAGTTTTCCTCTTCTTTTGATTTGGAAATGTTTTGTCTCCTTTGTGATTAGTAAATAAAGATCCATTGATTCCCTGTGTGATTTTTGTTCCTCTGTGGTAAAGGTGCTCAACTCTCAGCTGGCTGGTGTTATAGAACTCAGGGAGCCAAGGCCCAGGAGGAAGAAGAGGAGGAGGAAGAGGAAGAGGAGGAGGAGAAGGAAGAGGAGGAGGAGGGAGGAGGAAGAAGAGGAGGGAGATAAGGAGAAGGAAGAGGGGGAGAGGAGGAGGAGTAGAAAGATGAGGAGAAGGGAGAGGAGGAGGGAGAGGATGAGGAGGAGGGAGAAGAGGAGTAGAAAGATGAAAAGGAGGAGAAAGGAGAGGAGTAGGGAGAGGAGGAGGAAGAGGAGAAGAGGAGGAGGAGGGAGAGGACTACCCCAAGTCCCCTCCTCTGCCTTTGGATATAGCTCTCACACTGCTGCCATCAGGGAGTTATAAATTGCGGCAACAGGAAGACCAAACGCCAAAAGAGGAGCATCTTGAGGAAACGTGGGCAACAAATCCAGATAGCACAAATACTTTACATTTAAGAACAGAAGAGACTGGACTCAGGGAGTTTATTTAGAATTGAGCATTTCATTGCTAACGTTTTCTTACTGCTCTGATTGCCTAAGATTCTAAAGGTGGGAATGTAACTAATAACACTTCTGCTGTGAAATTGGGTCACCCAAATAGCATCTGGTGATGTGGTTGTACTTCTAAACATGCTATAGAACTCAGAAAATTGTCAGACATTTGCTTTAGAAACAGTTTTATGATTCTTCCAGGAAAATGGATCTTTTCTGCATCATCGGGCAAGGCCATTTTGTGTGACCCAGCTTTCTTTGGTTTTTCAATGTGCTTTCTGTGACTTTATTCCAGGATATGAAAATGAAAGAGTACATGTGTGGTGATATTTGTCCCAGTAAGAAACAACATCAACACATCTAAGTTAAAGAAGCTTGTCTCAACTTGGGACGATCTTCAGTTTTTAGAAATACACAACATTTGATATATGTTTTTCTTTCCTCATTTGTTAAAAAGGGTTTATTATGTTTGGGGGATGAGGAAAGTATAAATGTATAAAAGTAAAAATGAATCAGTTATTACACTGTTATAGTTAGTCTTATTTATAATATTAATGACATGCTAGTCTTATTTATAATATTAATGATTGCAGTATGAGAGCTTTAAGTTTTAGTGACTTCTAAAATTTTGTGTCTAGGTAAAAGGCCAAGAAACCCCAAAACACTTATTGTGCTCTATTATAGGGTTGCTGCATTTTAAGTTTTTGCCTATTTCTCATAAACGGGGGAAAATATATAAAATTCAGCAAAATGTAGTTCTATCTCTAACAAAGAGTTGAAAACCTTTTAATGCACATTTAATTAGCATGAAATTAACAAAAATTATTTACATGCTTCAATTCAATTAGTTAATATTTTTATCTTTAAGTAACTCATTATGCTATATATGATATAGTTTATATACCTAAATTAATAGCTAGTTAAAAGCTACAGAAAAATCTAGAATAATAAATATTGCTTACATTTCAAATTTTCCGTGAAAATTTTCATTTCATTACATCTCCCCAAATTATTTATTCCCATAATTACAAATTATCCAGAAAAGTTATCTTTGCATTTGACACAGTAGAACATTTTAAAAATAAAATAATTAAAAATTCAGACTAAAATAAATAATTTTCAATGTTTTTTCTTTTATAGATGATTTTGACATTTTTAAAATAAGAAATTTAAACTACTATGAATATTTTCAGTATCTGTCTCATAAACAATCCTCTTTAGATTTTTAACAATAACCTAGAAAACTGGAGAGAAGGGTTTTCATCACCTTTAAGACCAGATTTTGATTTAACAGAAGGTGGTGTAAGAAATAATTTTCCATTTTTCTTCTGCATATGAGTGAGCTTTAGCTATTGAAAAAAATAAGTCATAGACAAGTAACAGGCCCAGATTCTCTGTTCGTCTATGACATCGTAAATCATAAATACTTTAAACACAAAATTGCTAGACAAATTTACCTCGCTGAGCTATATATTTACAGCAATCTGCAAAACCACCCATGGCAGCGTAATGAAGTGGTGTGTTCCCATTCATTGCAATCAGTCCCATGTCTCCATTGAAGGCAAAAAGAAGTTTCAGTATCTGCAAAATAAACAGTGGATGTTATAGATGAATAAGAATGTATATTTACTGAATGAAGACTGGCACCTGGACCTGTGCTATCCAGGATATTAGCTATTACCTATTATCTATTTTAGATAAAATTAAAAATTAAAAAATAGGATATTGTTAGTTCCTATTTTGTTTCTGCAATGTCATTGTATCCGTAAGATATTATTTGTTGATATGGTCAGATAATCAGTTTAAAATGCAAGCATATAATTAGATGCAGACAAACACCATGGAGATCAGTGTACGATGGCATTATTCTCCATAATTAGATCATAACATAATTTGAAGATTCTAGTACATGATGAAAGTATAAAATGGGGTAGTCCCAGTTGACAGAAATTTTAAATTGTCATAGTTAAGTATACAGATAAACATGAATAGTAATATTAAATGAATTAGTTAGTAAACCAAAAAAACTAATAAAGAGCTAAAAAATGTTGGTTTAAGAGAGAATTTTAGAATTATTTGGGGAGATAAAGATGAAAACATAAGTAACTTAGAAAAAAATTCTGCCTTAGTGTAACCTACATGATATATAGAAAGTCTGAGAAAAAGGACAGAAAAGTTTTAGCAATGAATTTTAAAGCAGAGAACAAATTATTACATCAAAGAAGCCTCCTTTAGCAGCAAAATGAGCAGCATGCTGTCTGTCATTGTCAAAGGCATTCACATCGCCTCCTCTTTCCAATATGCCTCGAACAATTTCCACCACCCCTTCTCTGGATGCTTCCATTAGAGCTGTGCGGCCTGTGGACTGGACATGAAACAGATCAAATGCTGTTTATATCCATCATATTAAGTAAAATATTTAGTATAAATAGAGTCTGAATCTACTTGACCTTAGCTTTACACTTACAAGTTTAGTTCTCTACATTTTTCTTAGTTTCACATAACAAAGAGTAAAAATTAAGCAAGTACAATGGGTTAAGGTCCAGAATTCTAAAATCAGTCAAGGTCAAACTGCAGGTTCCTGTGAGAATATCATGCTAATAAAAAAAATGCATTTCTTGCAAAGAAAGAATAAAAAGGGAGAAAAAAGAATAACATGGATGAATATCTAATATAAAATTAGGTCATAGGTGTTTTCTAATGAGAAGGAGATCTATTTTTAGTGTCTAGAAAGGACAGTTAAAAGAAAACTTAATAAAATTGGACAAGTAAGGAGAAAAACATAGATCAGAGAAACAGCAGAACTACATATTTTCTTTCCAAGAAGATAAAATTTTATTAGGCATCAGTGATGCCTTTCTTCTACTTTCTGTGGTGATACTTTGACATTATGCATAATAAATACCAATTTTTCAAGCAATTAGTAAATAGGCTTCAGGATCATGGCACTATGAAGATACTGAAAACATACCATCTTTAAGCATTTTGAGTCAAAATGAATAGCCTAAAACTAACAGGATAATGTTCCCATATTTGAATACAAAAATTATACTTAAGACTCTGCAACTAAAAAACAACAACAACTTTTAATCACAGGAATAATCATACTGAGTTGATAGCATTTGGATTGGCTCCTTTTTCCAAAAATGTCAGGCACACATCTTTAACATCATGTGCTTCTTCACAAGCTCTAAGGAATATCGGTTTTCCATCATAGGTACAATTGTTGACATCTGCACCATGTTCAAGGGCAATCAGAGCACAGCGATAATGCCGCTTAGTAGGTAAAATGCAATAAAACAAAACACCTGCAGAGAAAATCCCCAAAGAGTATTCAATTAATAGTCTGTATATATTGAACCTCATAGGAAAGAAAAAAAGATTATTTAAAAATCCATATTTAACTAAAGATAGTAAAGGCATATCTACCTTGGTTTTCTCTTTGAAACCAACGAAAACACCAAGACAGAAAAATTTTTAAAAACTCAATCTCTGTCAGAGTTAGAAAACAGTCACAACCAAATGTGATACGACCTGGTTTAAGGAAGAATTGCAGTGCTGATACGGCTACACAGTGAATTGCAATCAGTTGGATAGAATGTAGAGATTTTTATACCTCTTCCTTCATTATCGACTATAGTCATATCAGCCTTGGCCTTGGCTAATATTTCCATTGACAATTCATGACCCAGTTCTGCAGCCCTCATTGTTGGAGTACAGCCCACATGGTCTTGCACATCAGGGTGAGCGCCAAGTTCAAGGAGAAAGCTGACCATATCAATGTCATTGGAAACTGAGGCCAAGTGCAGAGCACTAAGTCCATCAATGGGGTCTGTGAAATTGATTAATTCAGGATAGCCAAACTTAGTCAGTTTCTCTATCTGCTGCTTGTCTTTGTTCCGCACACACTGAAGCACTTTGTAGGTCTGCAAGTTCTCAAGTCTCTTATTGGTTAAAGCCATGCTTGACCAGCTTCTTAAAAATGCTCTCTGAACCAAAACAAGAACTACAGTAGGAAAAAAGAAAAAGAAAACAAATAATAAAAGTTAATTATATCATCTTCATTTTAATTAAATAGCAATATTTTAGAACTTCTCTAAGAACAGAGGCTATTTCTTATGAAATGCTATTTTATTGAAACTGATTTCAGAAAGTAGGCATTCCATATAAATACAAAAACGTTCAGATGAAATGAAGTTGAAATAGTTCAAAACAAATCTTTCACCACAATTAAAACCAGTTTGCTGGGCAGTTTTCTTTTTATCTTATTTAACCTTCCCACCTTGCCACAACTTTCCTAGTTTACCCATGCAAAAGGTGATGTTAACTAAATTAGCAAGGTAAGGATTTGAGTTCCAATCCACATGGCTCCATATGTAGCATACTCACAAGGTAGAGAGCATACAGCTGTTAGTAATTTAAATGTGCTATAAAAATGTATAGAATTTTGAGGTGCTTATTATAATCAGAAGTCTATTGGGCTTTATGAAGTAACCAAGATGTGATGAATGATTCCTGTGTCATCTTCAGTGAGAATGAGGTGGTTATTTTTTTATTTTAAAGATGTGGGGTACAATTCAGGGTTAGGTATACAAACGTTGATTATGCAGGTACTCTTGTTGATGAGGTGTGCCCCTCCCTCCCCTAGCAGTTTCCCTCAACTGCCAATCCCACCCCTCCTCCCCTGGCAGTTTTCCACTACTGCCAATCCCTTTCTTAGAGTATTATGATAATTGTTCAAGATTGGCTCATGAGTGGACAACTCTAAGTTTTCTTAAACAATCCCACTGTTAAATTGTGATGGAAATTCTGCTATGTAATTTTATCTCCTTTTATGGCAAAAAATTTGGTTTGAGTAGTAAGCCATACTAGATATGTCTAGCATGCTTTTTTAAAATGGGAAAATAACTCTGTTGTCGATCATACAGGGAATCTGATCTAGGATGTTTGGGTGGGGCTGTACCTTCTCTCCCCTGACACAGGAGTGGGTCTGGGACTTAGGCTTGGTCCATTAGAGTGAACCATCTCTCTCCAAGTACACTGAATTGCTCTTGCAAATGCTCATTAAAAAAAGAAATCAGCCAATCAGAATCCTATGTTACCCTTCTGCCAGAACTATATGGAGAGACTGTTTTATCTGAAGTTGTCAAGCAATAGGGTGTAAGGCTGGGGCTGCAGGCAACTCTCTTGGCTATCACAGGGAGATCCCGTGTTTGAATGATGGTGACAGACTGAGACTGATGGCATCAGTTGCACACTGGGTTCCATGGTTCCTGAAGCCACTTACCACTTTATGTTCAGCGCTGCATGAGTAAATATATTCTCCCCCCTACTTTATTTTGGCATAAGTTAGTTAGCTGTATTTCTAACATTTGCAATGAAAAGATTTGATCTTAATACAAAAGCTGAAACTATGACCATCTTTTCTCCACCACAAATCTGCTTCCCAACCTACAGTCTCCATGGCAATGAACTGTGCTGTTGATCACTTACTCCTCCTTGAAATATGTCTCTCTAGGCAATCATGTATCTCTGTTGTTTGTTTCCATCCATCACCATCACCCACTTCTGCTCAGTCTTCTCTGCTAGTTATCCCTCATGTGGCAGAAGAAAGCCTCACTTTGGGGTGCCCAGGGCTAGGTCCCCAGGACTCTTCTCTATCCTCAGCACTACCCTGGTGTCTCATCTCAGCTCGTGACCTTCACCCCATCTTTCAACTTCTGATTGTTGACTCTCAAATTGATACAGCCATCTCTGACTCTCCCTGAGAGCAAATGTGATATTTCCACCCACCTCCTCTTCATTCTCCCTTAGATGTCTCATAGATAACTAAAATGTAACATGCTGTTGGAAATGGAACAGAACTGTTGCTATCACTTTGACTTTGACATTACCATCCATCCGTTGACTCCAATTAAATCACTCAGAGTCACCGTTCATTCTTTCCTTTCCTCACAGATCCCCTCACTCTTTAAATTCATCAGTAAATCCTGTCAACTTTACCTCCAGTATACACCCTGACATCAATCCTGCACTATTCTCCTAGCCAAATCATGCCTTCTAATACATCTCACTGCTTCCACAACAGCCCCCTCTACAGTCCAGTTTCTAGATAATTGTCAGAGAAATCTTTTAAAAATGTAGATCAGATAAGATGGGACAAGCTTACAGTACCCAACCTTTGAGTATAAATGTGTTTAAATATAAAGTATGTGATGAACATCCATATATCTGCCACTAAGATCCTATTATTAATGCTTAACTTGCTTTATCACATATCCACCCCTCCATCTAGCCATTAATCCATCTTATTTTTGTATCCATTTCAAAGTGAACTGTGGACATATTTCAGCATACATACCAGGGTATTCTGGTTAGGTGCAGTGTCATCATGTTGGGTATGTGTACACGTCATCTATGGAATAAAGATGCTCCTAACTAGCTTAGTGATTATACTGAATCAACGCCACATCATTTATGTGAAAAGGACTTCCTAATCAGGGACTTTAATGTTGCCTCTGATGCATTCATGCCTAACAGAGAATTAATTAGCAGCATGTGACATTGTCCAATCTAGCTACAGTGATGAATTCAACAGTTCATGGGTCAGTTGCCTATGGATTGCATCCTTACCAGCTAAACCCCCGAAATGCTAGGGAAACAGTGGCACAGAGTATATTGGTCCTTTAGCAGTTGATTAATTTCAAAGGCTGATCTTACCTCACTGGAGGAAATCACAGAAGTCCTGTTCTGGTCTTGAGATCCTCATACATTGTATAACATATATGTGTCTCAGGAGGGTCTCCATAGATACACACACTGGTACATTTCCTCAGCGCAACACTGGTCCACCTTGGGCCCATCTAACCATCTATATTGACAATCTCAAAAGGTTGTAGAACAGAACACGATGCCAGATTTGAGTTCCATGTTTGGGGTCTGAATACTCTGAAATTTTATGAATATCTGTGAATATTTGTGTGTCCAGGGCACTTTTCCTCTGTGGGGAGAGACCCATAGAGCTCATCAAATTCTCAAAGGTGTCTGTGAGACAAGGGAGGTTCCTTAGAAAGAGGAATGGAAGAAGATGAGCTCCGTGCAGTGGAAAGGGTGTTGGTTTTGATGTGGGGAAATCTGTTGTGATCTTCCCTTCCCTGTATCATTATTTACATGCACTTGCGCGATAAATACATACATAGTCTACCTTCCTAGTTTGCCTCTCCGTTTTTTCATCTGCGAAATGGAGATAATAACAGTACCCACTTCACCTGGCTGTGCAAAGAAAGCACAGAATTATTTTTGTAAAATATTTAACCAAGTCCCTCCATACAGGTTCACTGTGAATAAAACAAATTTCTGTGGATTTCAGCTCACTCATAAGCGATGGTTTACCTTTTAAGGGTTCTCTGCTATGCTTTTCAGTCTTAGATCTCAGCAAAATCTGGAGAGAAAAGGCGTGGGGGTGGATAGAGACGTGGTGGCAAGGGAAAGGCCAGGTGGCAAGGACTAAAGTGCCACGCTCACCTTTTAGTCGTCGTCCGGGCGATCAGGAGCCGCGGATTTCCGGACACCAATGCGCCTGGGCCTGCGGTGGCGCTCGGGGCGGCCCTAGCTGTCGCCCTCTGCTGCTTGGCGCCGGCCCCAGCCGCGACCTTGGGCTCCCGGAGCCCTGCTGGGGCGCCCAGGCGTGAATGGCGTCCCTTTGGGCAGAGAGGGAGAGCCGGCGCGCGGGGCAGCAGGGCGGGGTGTGAGTGTCCATGGGCCCCAGGTCTGCAGCGCGCGGCCAGGTGAGCGCAGGGGGGCGGGGTGGCGGCCGCGGGGACCCGCCGATTGTGAGCTTTGGCCACGCAAGTCCTGGCTGCCTGGGCAACGGCCTGGGTGGCGCGAAGGGGCGGGGCGAGCTCCGGACCGTGAACCCAACCGGCAGAGCACAGAACGCAGAACGCTGCACCCTCTAGGATTCCGCCCTTCTCTCGTCCTCTTCCTGCCCTCATTCAAAACTTAGAAAAGTAAGGCTGCTTATGGCAAAAATAAAATCAAATATGTAATAAAATATTTTGCAAAGTAAAATTAAATAAAAAATACAATAAGCTACACAATAAAACGGAAATAGCAATAACTACAACTCTCAACTGCTGTAGATTCTTGTAAATCTTCCTAGAAATTTTCTTCCCACACTCTAGGATGCATGTATGATTAAAAAATACTTACACACAAATGGAAGCAAATATGGAGATAATTTTATTGCAGGGCCTACAAATCAGCCACGACACCTCTTCCTCTCCCTCCACATACATTTTGGAGGCAAATTCTGAAAACTTTTGTCTGTTGATGTGAATATAAAACATGTGTATATATATACATTTTTTTTTGAGTTGGGTCTCACTCCGTCACCCAGGCTGGAGTGCAGTGACACAATTATGGCTCATGGAGGCCTCTACCTTCTGGGCTCAGGCGATCCTCCCACCTCAGCCTCCTGAGTAGCTGGCTGTACAGGTGCAAGCCACATGCCTGGCTAATTTTTTAATTTTTTTTTTTTTTTTGTAGAGATGAGGTTTTGTATGTTGCCTAACTCCTGTTGGTACCGAACTCCTGGCCTCAAGCAATCTTCCCACCTTGGCCTCCTAAAGTACTGGGATTACATGCATGAGCCACCACGCCCAACCTAAAACATGTATGTTTTTTAAAGCAGTATGCAACTGCTTCTTATTAAAAAAAACAGTAATTTCTCACACCAACCTAGCATATTCTTCTACTCTCAAACTGTTTAAAAATATTATTAAGGACTGTATGTGCATAAAGTATATACTACATAATACACAGAAAGTATAAAGTATATAAAGCATCCCATGGCTAAAGAACAAGAAGACTGGAGAAAAGATGGAAAAAGAAAGAAAAGTCTGCCTCTACTGCTGTACCCTGTGTTTTTCTTCCCAATATTGCATCCTCCCCTTCCTGTCCCCAGAGGTAACTCCTAAATTTTATATTTATCATCCTCTAGAATTTTAAAAGTGTAATGCTTCATTTAAATGCCTCCCTAAATGTGGTTAGTATTGCATTTTTCGAGAATTTATTAAAAAATGGGTAGAATATTGTATAATGTTTTTTGTTTTTCTTTCGACATCTTAGTTTCGAAATGTATCTTTGTTGAGATGTTTAGTTGGGTTTTCTTTATCTTAACAGCTTTATGCTATCCCACATGTATTAACATTTCACCCTCCTTTTAAGTCAATTTTACTATTGATGGACATTGTGACGTGTTCAGAATTTGCCATTAAATGCAGTACTGCTATGGTCATGTTTGTACATGTCCTTAGATGCACAAGTTCAAGAGTTTCTCAAGGGTATAAGTCTTGGAGTGAAATTTCTGTGTCATAGGTTACTTGTAACATAAAGATAACTTGTTTTCCAAGTATGTACAGCAATATAGACTCCTATCAGCAATATGTGCATCTTTGCCAAAACTTGATTTTGTCACACATTAAACTTTTTGCCAATCTAATGGGTCTTTCATGATTTTACTTTGCATGCTCTGATCGTTAATTATTAGTTGGCAAGCTTGATTGGTCAGAAATATTTGAGCATAACTCTATTGTTAAGATACACTATTCACCCTAAAGTACTTACCACATAACTCTGTCAGATTATTTTAACAGAACCAGAGCACCATTTCTTGAATTCTTGTTTCTCAGCATAGGCAAAATCTCATATTTGAGTTTGGCTTGTTGACCTAATGAGGTCTGACAATGATGAACAAGTCACTCAGGTGACTTGAGTCTTTGTAAAATCAGAATACTATGAACTGCACTTACAAGCCATAAAGGAAGCAGGCATTGCAATGGAATGAGTGCCATCTTGGCTTCGTGGTCAATTCTTGGGAAGTGCTTCTGTGTATGAACTGTTCCAATTCTGTATAACAGGTTATCATGGATTTTTACGATAATAATCCTCTTGTTGGAGACAAAATTGATGTCAATAGCAGCCTTGTTTCATTCTGGGAAAAGTGCTAAAGTTATTTGAGAATATGGTAGAATCTATAGGAAACACATCTAGAAGACAGAAGGGAATAGATTAGTATTGTATAAACTATGCTTGGATTACATCAGAACTACTGGTGTAAATTTTTTTTTTGTCGCCCAGGCTGGAGTGCAGTGGCAATTCATGGCCACTCTAGCATCGACCTGCTGGGCTCAGGCAATCCTTCCGCCTCAGCTTTCCAAATAGCCAGAACCATAGGCGTGCACTACCATGCCTGGCTAATTTTTTGATATATTGTAGAGATGAGGTGTCCCCAAGTTTTCCAGGCTGGTCTTGAATCCATGGGCTCAGGCAATCCTTTTGCCTCGGCCTCCCAAAGTACTGGGATTACAGGCTTGAGACACCACATCCAGCCAGGGGCAAATATTTTGAGTAGAAGTTGGCAACTGGGCATGGTGGGTCACTCCCATAATCCCAACATTTTGGGAGGCCTAGGCAGGGAAATTGCCTGAGCCTAAGAGTTCAACTCCAATCTGGGCAACATAGTGAGGCTCTGTCTTTACAAAAAAATTAAAAATTATCTGGGCATGGTAGCAGGCATGCAGTTCCAGCTACTCAGGAGGCTGAGGCAGGAGGATAGTTTGAGCCCAGGAGCTTGAACCTGCAATAATCTATAACTGTGTCACTGCACTGCAGCCTGGTGACAGAGTGAGACTATACCTATTTTTTTTTTTTTTGAGTTGGAGTCTCACTCTGTCGCCCAGACTGGAGTGCAGTGGCCGCTCCCGGCCACCGCAACCTCGACCTGCTGGGCTCCGGCGATCCTTCCGCCTCAGCCCTCCAAGGAGCTGGAATTACAGGCATGGACTACCACGCCCAGCTGATTTTTTGATTTATTGTAGAGATGAGGTCTCGCTGCCCAGGCGGGTCTCGAACCCACGGGCTCAGGCAATCCACTCACCTCAGCCTCCCAAAGGCGCGGGATTACAGGCTGAGCCACCGAGCCCGGCTACCTATTTTTTTTTTAAGGGTGGGGGAAAGAAATTGGGAAACATTTGTTGGTTGATTGAGACCTTGGAGATAAAGTAGTCTCATTCATTCTCCTGACTTTCGTTTTCAGGAATTTTCTTTCCCTGAAAGCATACTCTCTGAGTTTCATGAAACTCTTTGATTTTATAATCAGGTGGCTGAAAAGTAGCTTAATAATAGATGAACGCTTTTAATTTCAGTCTTTTTAACTGAGGGAAGTTACTAAAGTGGTTATTGCTGAGCTCTTTAAAACTAGCTCATGCTAATGAGGAAGAAGGCATTGCATGGGTAAAATTTAGAAATCCCAGATTGGTAAACAGACACTGTGTCACAAGAGGTCTTGAAAACACCACAAAGCCTTCTTAACTTGAACTTTATCATTTTGCCCTTAGCTATTTGGCGGTAAGTTTGTCAGAACTTGAATAACACGAAGGAAAAATGGGAGGAAAGGGTATTAAATGTTCATACTGCTCTTACAAAGCTAATTGGGAGGTGGCAGAAAAGTTTATGTAGTTCTCACCAACGTAAGTTATGCTAGGTATAGACTGATGTGTTAACTGAATTCTCCATTAATAACCTAACTAGTGCTTCTATCTTTGTCTGATATAAGCAAAATTTTATCTTTAAATTATAACTATTCAAAGGGATTGCACATTTAATACTTCTTACATAGTCCTAGACATTCTTCAAAATACTTGATAAATTAAAAGTGATTTTACTAAATTACCTCACACATCTTTATAAAATTTGTCATTAAAACCCAGTAAGAAGCTGCATTAGCTACCAGAAGTTCTTAAATTCTTTTTTACTAGGCTGAAAAGCAATCTGTAGAGTAGTTGCTTCATAGAACCAATTGTATGAATTAAATTAGAAGATAATGGAAATAAGAATTAGTAACTGGTATGGCATGCCTGTAGTTGACGATATATACCTATAATTGGAAATAACATTTGTTGAATCATATTGGGGTTTTCACAAGATTGAGGTAAGTTTGATAGAGTTTTCTTGTTTTCATTTCATAATTATTTGCAAAATTTATCCCTTACAATGCCGATGTTTTAATATTATTTTCTTCTAAAAATAACAAAATATTTTTGAGTGCCTGTTTGTTGTGGGGAAATTTATTTGCCAACTCACTGCACAGTGAGTTAGAGCTTTACTTATTGTACAAGTAGTAATGGATTGATAACAGGTATTAAGCTGTTTCTTTCCAAAAGAGAAATGAAAACATGTCAAATAATTTTGAAATGGGAAATAAATCAGCTGACAACATAGAGCACTACTTAATACTTCCATTAAGAACTTATTTTGACTCTTTTATATTGTAGCAATTACAAAGTAGGTCTTGAATGAATGAATGTTGAACAAATATTCCATTAGAATATAAGCAGTTTGTGGATAGATATATTCGTATCAGGATCTGCCTTTTTCTCTGGCTTAGAATAAAGCTTCTCCAAGATCGTATGGGGGAGTTTTTGTGAATTTGAAATAAATACTTCAAAAGCTCTCTTGTTTCTGGGTGTATTATATTTATTTGGAGGCTGCTGAAACTTCATTCTTCTGAATTATCTTCTCTATTCCTATGACATTTCTTTCTTCTTTTTTTTTTTTTCCCCTGAGGTCTGGAATATTTAAAATACAAGTGAAATTATTTATTCTTTAAGAATATACAGAAGAGAGCTGTGAAATCTTTCGGTGTGCTTTTTAAATGACATATCTTTAATCACCTTTCCAAACTTCTGCCTGGAAATTGATCTATTCCTGTTTTCTACTTCAGAAGAAGGTCAATTTTGATAATTT